AATTTTGGGCTAAAAGTAGCGAAAGTAGCCCAATTTTGGGCTAAAAAGTAGCGAAAGTAGCGAAATTTTGAACTAAAAAGTAGCGAAAGTAGTGAAATTTTTGGCTAAAAGTAGCGAAAGTAGCCCAATTTTGGGCTAAAAGTAGCGAAAGTAGCAAAATTTTGGGCTAAAAAGTAGTGAAAGTAGCGAAATTTTGGGCTAAAAGTAGCGAAAGTAGCCCAATTTTGGGCTAAAAAGTAGCGAAATTTTGGGCTAAAAGTAGCGGAAGTAGCCCAATTTTGCGAAATTTTTGTGCAATTTTAGCGAAAGTAGCCCAATTTTGGGCTACAAAGTAGCGAAAGTAGCCCAATTTTGGGCTACAAAGTAGCGAAAGTAGGCCAATTTTGGGCTACAAAGTAGCGAAAGTAGCCCAATTTTGGGCTACAAAGCAGCGAAAGTAGCCCAATTTTGGGCTACAAAGCAGCGAAAGTAGCCCAATTTTGGGCTACAAAGTAGCGAAAGTAGCCCATTTTTGGGCTACAAAGTAGCGAAAGTAGCCCATTTTTGGGCTACAAAGTAGCGAAAGTAGCCCAATTTTGCGAAATTTTTGCGCAATTTTAGCGAAAGTATCCCAATTTTTGGGCTAAAAATCACGCTTAGGAGTCAAATTTCAGACATTTTGAAAACTGCAGGGGGGTTTGGGCAAAATATGACCCATCACCGTTTTCAGTAATTGGCATATTTTCGGTATAAAAAATTCGTAATTTGAAACTGAAAATAGGTGCAGAGTCAGAATTCGGCTCAAAAATCACGCTCAGGAGTCAAATTTCCGACATTTCAGACATTTTGAAAACTGCAGGGGGGTTTGGGCAAAATATGACCCATCACCGTTTTCAGTAATTGGCATATTTTCGGTATAAAAAATTCGTAATTTGAAACTGAAAATAGGTGCAGAGAGTCAGAATTCGGCTCAAAAATCACGCTCAGGAGTCAAATTTCCGACATTTCAGACATTTTGAAAACTGCAGGGGGGTTTGGGCAAAATATGACCCATCACCGTTTTCAGTAATTGGCATATTTTCGGTATAAAAAATTCGTAATTTGAAACTGAAAATAGGTGCAGAGAGTCAGAATTCGGCTCAAAAATCACGCTCAGGAGTCAAATTTCCGACATTCTGAAAACTGCAGGGGGGTTTGGGCAAAATATGACCCATTACCGTTTTCAGTAATTGGCATATTTTCGGTATAAAAAATTCGTTATTTGAAACTGAAAATAGGTGCAGAGAGTCAGAATTCGGCTCAAAAATCACGCTCAGGAGTCAAATTTCTGACATTTCAGACATTTTGAAAACTGCAGGGGGGTTTGGGCAAAATATGACCCATCACCGTTTTCAGTAATTGGCATATTTTCGGTATAAAAAATTCGTAATTTGAAACTGAAAATAGGTGCAGAGAGTCAGAATTCGGATAAAAAATCACGCTCAGGAGTCAAATTTCCGACATTTCAGACATTTTGTTTGAGACGCATGGCCCCTGGGGCAAGAGTGCCTTGGGATTTCTCAAGGAATTGGGTTCCAAGCTCATTGACGTCACCAGAGACCCAAGGGCTTCCAGTTTTTTTGTTTCAGCGTCTCAGTGTGGCGATCCAGAGGGGAAATGATTGCTGCGTCCTCGGTTCCTGTCCAGAAGCGGAGGAGCTTCAAGAGATCCATAACCTTTAGGCATTTGTCTTGTATGTTTTGTAACCTTTAAATACACAATAAAGGAAAAAAAAAAATATATCTATCTATATATATATATATATATATATATATATATATATATATATATATATATATATATATATATATATATAGATATATCTATATATCTATATCTATATCTATATATATATATATCTATATATCTATATCTATATCTATATATATATGGCCGGTAGCGGCGAAAATCGCACAGTTTTTGGCCGCTAGCGGCGAAAACCGCGCGATTTTCGCTGCTAGCGGCCAAAAACCGCGCGATTTTCGCCGTTAGCGAGCAAAAATCTGGGGATTTTTTCTGCTAGCGGCGAAAATCGCTCGATTTTTGCCCTCCAGCGGCGAAATTCGCCCGATTTTTGCCCTCCAGCGGCGAAATTCACCCGATTTTTGCCCGCTACCGGCGAAAATCGCGCGATTTTTGGCCGCTAGTGGCAAAAATCGCACGGTTTTTGGCCGCTAGCAGCGAAAATCGCGCGGTTTTTGGCCGTTAGCGGCCAAAAATCGTGCGAATTTCGTCGCTACCGGCAAAAAATCGGGCGATTTTCGCCGCTACCGGCCAAAAACCGTGCGATTTTCGCAGCTGGCTGCCAAAAACCCCGCGATTTTTGCAGGTAAAGGCCAAAAATTGCGCGATTTTCGCCGCTAGCGGCCAAAAATCGTGCGAATTTCGCCGCTAGCGGCCAAAAATCGTGCGAATTTCGCCGCTACCGGCCAAAAATCGCGCGATTTTCACCACTAGCGGCCAAAACCCGTGCGATTTTCGCAGCTGAAGGGCAAAAATCGCGCGATTTTCGCCGCTACCGGCCAAAAATCTAGCGATTTTCGCCGCTAGCGGCCAGACACAGCGCGATTTTCGCATCTAGCGGCCAAAATAGCCGCTATCGCTATTTTCGCTATCGCTATCGCAAAATAGCCAATATTTTCGCCGCTAGCGGCACGATTTTTGGCCGCTAGCGGCGAAAATAGCCCCTTTTTTGGTCGCTATCTGCGAAAATAGCCCCTTTTTTGACCGCTAGCTGCGACAGTCGGTCGAGTTTTGCCGCTAGCGTTCAAAAACCGCGCGATTTTCGATGCTAGCGGCCAAAAACCGTTGGATTTTCGCCGCTAGCGGCAAAAAATCGCACGATTCTCGCCGCTAGCGGCAAAAAATCGCACGATTCTCGCCGCTAGCGGGCAAAAATTGGGCGAATTTCGCCGCTGGAGGGCAAAAATCGGGTGATTTTCGCCGCTAGCAGAAAAAATCGCCAGATTTTTGGCCGCTAGTGGCGAAAATCGCGCGGTTTTTGGTCGCTAGCGGCGAAATTCGCACGATTTTTGGAGGTAAAGGCCAAAAAATGCGCGATTTTCGCCGCTAGCGGCCAAAAACCATGCGATTTTCGCAGCTGGCGGGCAAAAATCGCGTGATTTTCGCCGCTACTGGCCAAAAATCGCGCGATTTTCACCGCTAGCGGCAAAAAACCGCGCGATTTTTGCCCGCTACCGGCGAAAATCGCGCGATTTTTGGCAGCTAGCGGCGAAATTCGCACGATTTTTGGCCGCTTGCGGCGAAATTCGCCCGATTATTACTTGCTACCGGCGAAAATCGCCCGATTTTGGGCCGCTAGCGGAAAAAATAGCCCCTTTTTTGGTCGCTATCGGCGAAAATAGCCCCTTTTTTGGCCGCTAGCTGCGACAGTCGGTCGAGTTTTGCCGCTAGCGTTCAAAAACCGCGCGATTTTCGATGCTAGCGGCCAAAAACCGTTGGATTTTCGCCGCTAGCGGCAAAAAATCGCACGATTCTCGCCGCTAGCGGGCAAAAATTGGGCGAATTTCGCCGCTGGAGGGCAAAAATCGGGTGATTTTCGCCGCTAGCAGAAAAAATCGCCAGATTTTTGGCCGCTAGTGGCGAAAATCGCGCGGTTTTTAGCCGCTAGCGGCGAAATTCGCACGATTTTTGGCCGCTAGCGTCGAAAATCGCGCGATTTTCGCAGGTAAAGGCCAAAAAATGCGCGATTTTCGCCGCTAGCGGCCAAAAATTGCGCGATTTTCGCCGCTAGCGGCCAAAAACCATGCGATTTTCGCAGCTGGCGGGCAAAAATCGCGTGATTTTCGCCGCTACCGGCCAAAAATCGCGCGATTTTTGCCCGCTACCGGCGAAAATCGCGCGATTTTTGGCAGCTAGCGGCGAAATTCGCACGATTTTTGGCCGCTAGCGGCGAAATTCGCCCGATTATTACTTGCTACCGGCGAAAATCGCCCGATTTTGGGCCGCTAGCGGAAAAAATAGCCCCTTTTTTGGCCGCTAGCCGCGAAAATCGGTCGATTTTTGCCGCTAGCGGCCAAAAACCGCGCGATTTTCGCTGCTAGCTGCCAAAAACCGCGCGATTTTCGCTGCTAGCGGCCAAAAACCGCGCGATTTTCGCCGGTAGCGGGCAAAACTTGGGTGAATTTCGCCGCTGGAGGGCAAAAATCGGGCGAATTTCGCCGCTGGAGGGCAAAAGTCGGGCGAATTTCGCCGCTGGAGGGCAAAAGTTGGGCGATTTTCGCCGCTAGCAGCAAAAATCGCCAGATTTTTGGCCGCTAGCGGCGAAAATCGCGCGGTTTTTGGCCGCTAGCTGCGAAAATCGCGCGGATTTCGCCGCTAGCGGCCAAAAACCATGCGATTTTCGCAGCTGGCGGGCAAAAATCGCGCGATTTTCGCCGCTAGCGGCCAAAAACCGTGCGATTTTCGCTGATAGCGGCCAAAAACCGTGCGATTTTCGAAAATCGCGCGATTTTCGCTGGTAGCGGGCAAAATTCGCGTGATTTTCCCCCTGGACTCTGCCTTCTTTTCAAAGGATAAAAGGAACTATGCTGCAAAATGAAAACAAAAAGAGTGCATCCTCAGTAATGCATCCAGCTGAGAAAGATTAAGATAGACCTGGAGAACATTTTTTTTGAGATATATACAAGAGTTGTTACATTCTTGTACAACCACTAGTACGCTTAGCGTTTTGGGCAGGTCCCTGGAATACGATCCCCGCCGCGAAGAATCGTTGTTACAACCAAGTACTCATTTTACTGTTGAGTTAAACAGAGGCTACAGTTAAGGATTTGCGCCCAGTATATCCTCCCCGGCCAGGATACGAACCCATGACAAAGCGCTCGCGGAACGCCAGGCGAGTGTCTTACCACTACACCACAGAGAGACTATATTCTCACATTATAAGACAAGAAATGTAGAGAATACCAGCTGCTAGTAAATGGCAGTTGCTTCCTTACTGTGACTTGTAAAAGATACTTCCATTCCCATTTAATTTGTTTAAACATTACACATTAATAAGACATAATTTGTAAATACACTACCTATAATATACACTAAATAAATACAAAATAAAATTTAAAGTGCTTCCAGTTAATAGTAGGCTACTGTATTTTTTATAATTTATGAATAGAATCAATAACATTAATATATACCGAGTGACATTTTTGAAGGATTATTTTTATGTACACTTTTACACAATAAGTTGATCATTTATAAAGTTAAGCTCATACCTGATACTGTATACAAATTATATTCTCTCCTACTTTGCAAGATAGGCACACAATATGGAATTCTATAAAATTTCACAACTAAGTCACCATTTCAAATGACAATTTATATCTTTCTGAACTGGAAGTTTTTCTTGATCACCTTACAAGAAAGTTACTTGTGGAACCTCTGACTTTTTAATGTGGCCTTATACAATTATACAATACAATATACAATAGCCTTAGTACAAGTTGAGTCAGTCATTGTTAAGTACTCATATGGCACTGCTGTTGTAAATATGGCAACTTGTATTCATTGTAGGGTAGCACTTGGCTAATAGTTATGACACTTTTAAAGTTTTACTAGGAAGTTGGACTGAAAAAGATGAGAGGCAGAACCAGGCCCACTCTGTAGCTGCATTATAGAGGTAGGGCCATCCTCTGTAGCTGCACTACAGGGGTGAAGCAGCTTCTACACATTTACTTGTAAACTAATACACAAAAGATTTCCTACAGTACTGTATACCACTTTTATATACGGTATTTACAAACACACTGTACAATAGATAAAAGCTGCCACTGAACATCTTTAAGACTACTAAAAGGAGGTAAATATATGTGAACGTCACTACACACGATGAACTGTACACTGTTTATAACAAGCACACCACTTGCATTTTGACTCCTGTAATCAGCATGAGGCAGGTGCTTTTTCTATATATTTTCACTGACACTCCGCATGTATTAACTAAACATTGCACATTATGGAACACCAAAAGCTGCTCACTTTCTACATCATTAGTAGCTTCACAATTGGTTTATTTGAATGTCTTTTGTAGTAACATTATTAAAATATAAAAAAATACTTCCGTGAACTAGCGCTGCACGGCTAGTAATACCAGTATTCAAAATTGAAAAAAATAATATAACCAGGGGGGCGAAGATTGTGATTTAAGTGACTGAGGCAAGTTTAGATCCTCGTACTGTAATTGTAAATCGTATTTGTCATCTGGCTCAACAGTAACACAGATTCTTAAGAGTAATGTTTTCAGTGTTGTAATTCGTTAATATATATATATTATGATAGTCTTTCTATTCTGCATTATTTACATATTACCTTTAGTACTTATGAGTATTATACAACTTACAAAAATGCACCAAAAATGTTAAGTACATTATACCTACTGTATTTAGTTCTTGGCATTATGCATGGTCATATTGTATGGTGATTTCCAGTCACCATATTAAAGCCTGCAATAATATAACACCATTCAGCTCCACACAACTATAGTATTTAATGTTTTTAGAAGATGCAAACTTCATAGTTTTATAATGATCATATACTGCAAGAAATTTATCTTAGCATTTCTGCTATGTATTTTAATACCACATAGTTTGTACAACACAAGTTTTCATATCACGAGGCATTGTTATTTTTCTGTTATCTCTGCACATATTTCAGGTAGTTAATGAATACATTCTCTTGGTTCTACTTGCATGTGTGTAGGTCAACAACCCTCACACATGTTTTACACTCGACAAAACAACACCAGTGAAACTTGCAGTGGCACCTTTCCCTAACGGTGACTTTCTGGGAGTTGTAGCCTCGTCCACAACACAGCAACCCGCAGCCATCCATACCTTGCGAAGTCTTGTTGCATATGCGGTCTTGAGTACCTGTCAATGGAATTTCATTAGAGAATGATGATTTGCTTGGGAAGGAACACTTCATACAGTCCCTACCAAGATGCATCAACTTAAATTTCACAGCCATGTCCAAATAGCATTTTTACTTTTGAAGAAATAGAGCATAGAGTGCAGTGAAATGCCCTGGGGCCAGATTCACGAAGCAGTTACGCAAATACTTACGAACGTGTACATCTTTCCTCAATCTTTGACGGCTTTGGTTACATTTATTAAACAGTTTATAAGCATGAAAACTTGCCTATCAACTGTTGTTATTGTTATAAACAGCCTCCTGGTGCTTCGGAGCTCATTAACTGTTTAATAGTTGTAAACAAAGCCGCCAAAGATTGAGAAAAGATGTACAGGTTCGTAAGTGCTTGCGTAAGTGCTTTCATGAACTAGTCTGTGCTGTGCCTCGGTAGTTTCCCCGAGCTCAAGCACTGAACTTGTCAGATTAGCCAATACCAGATACTCGTTTGCCTACCAGGAATAAGTGTTTATATACAATCTACCCTTGCCCCTCCCACCTCTATGAGGCAGGAAGCACAAACATCCTGGGAGTTACCTAGAGAACCAACTGTGTTATTTCGCTTGCAGTAGTCAGGCGACTCGTGAAGATATACCAGATCCTCTCCTGTAGGGACGTTAAACTGGGCATGCTTAACCTGCAGCTTGCCACGACGGTTGATTTTGACTTCTGTTGCACCATCATACTTGTCCTTCAGTAGGTCACCTGTGGGATTATACAGAATTATATAAAAGGGGATCAAAACGAATGGATTTTCAATTATAGATGGATTAAAATTGATAAATGTTCTAAATGTTGATAAACATAGTAAAAAGTGAATACAGATCATCTGACTTTAAAATGGTATTTGGACTTTTGAACCTACCGAGTAATGTGAGGAGAAACAGATTTTCAGCAGTCTGGGCTGGACCAGGTGAGGTACATTAATTTATAGACATAATGAACATAATTGTGATGTAATTACATTACTAAGGGAGGCAGTAGTGGAATGAACTACCATATACAGTATATAAATCAAGGCTAATACAATACTTAGGTTTAAATGTTGATTTGACAGAAATCTAGCTGGGCGCTATTGTATTACAAAAATGTAGACAAATGAAAAAAGGGGCCCAAGAGCTGAAATTTGGCTTATCAGGCACAACTGGATTAATACACCACACACACACACACGTGTGTGCGTGTGTTTCTGATATATGTAAATGATCTCTCAGAGGGAATAGACTCGTTCCTCTCAATGTTTGTGATGATGCAAAAATTATGAGGAGGATTAAGACCGAGGAAGATAGTATGAGGCTACATCTAGTGTTACCCAATCTAGTGTTAATACCCTAATCTAGTGTTACCCAATCTCCCAACCTTTATGTACTTAACCCAAACAACTTTATCATTGTGTTCATTGCTGTCTTCTTTTATGTGCTAGTCATATGCTGTATTGTGCCTACTAATTTTTGTTAAACTACCATTCAAGCTGTCATTGCAATCAATCTGAGCTACCTATGTGCTTAATATACCTACAATTTTCTCTCATCTTTTATTTTTTTCTTGCTTTGTAACTTATCATTTTTTATAAATTTTGCAAGTATTTACCTACTTAAACTTTTCTTAGATTAAGGACCTGCCCGAAACGCTGCTCATACTAGTGGCTTTACAAGATTGTAATTACTATACTATGTATCCTCACAATCCCAAGGTACCTTCTTGTATATATATAAATAAAATAAATAAATAAATAAACAAGATGACCTACACAAACTGAAGGAATGGTCCAACAAATGGCTACTAAAGTTCAACCCAAGTAGCCATTTGTTGGCTACTTGGTAATGAACCCAAGTAAGGTAATGAAACTAGGCAGAGGAAATAAGAGGCCAGACACAGGATACCGAATGAGAGATGAAGTCCTTCGTGAAATGGACAGAGAGAAAGATCTAGTTGATATGCCAAACCTGTGTCCTGAAGCCCACATCAAAATAATAACATCAGCGGCGTATGAAAGGCCGGCTAACGTCAGAACTGCCTTCAGAAACCTGTGTAAGGAATCCTTCAGAACCTTGTATACCACATATGTAAGACCAATCCTGGAGTATGCGGCCCCAGCATGGAGCCCGTACCTTGTCAAGCAAAAGACGAAGCTGGAAAAGGTTCAGAGGTATGCCTCTACGCTAGTCCCAGAACTAAGAGGCACGAGTTATGAGGAAAGGTTGCGTAAACAGTACCTCACGTCGCTGGAAGACAGGAGAGCTCGGGAAGACATGATCACCACATACAAAATTATCAGGGGAATTGACAGGGTAGACCAGGATAGATTATTTAAAACGGGAGGTACACACACAAGGGGACAAAGGTGGAAGCTGAGTTTCCAAATGAACCACAGAGACATTAGAAAGAACTTTTTCAGTGTCAGAGTAGTAAGTATGGGAATGCAGTGGGAAGTGACGTGGTGGAGAATGATTCCGTATACAGTTTCAAATGTAGATATGATAGAGCTCGAGAAGCTCAGGAATCTGTACATCAGTAGGTTGACGGTTGAGAAGCGTAACCAAAGAGCCGAAGCTCAACCCCAGTAAGGGGGTTGACAGAGTGGAAATACTGTAGACAAAATGTTCACACTGAATATCAATAAAACAGGGGGACATAGGTGGAAGCTGGAAACTCAGACGGGTCATAGAGAAGTTAGAAAATTTTCTTTTAGCGCGAGAGTATTGGGAAAATGGAATGAACTAAATGAACAATCTCTATTCATAATTTTAAAACTAGATATGACAGGGAAATAGGACAAGTCATTGCTTTAAAGAACTGGCGGCTACAAAGGTGGGATCCAAGAGCCAATGCTCGATTCTGCAGGCACAAATAGGTGAGTACACGAGATCAGAGATCTACTCTCATTACCCCCATTCTCTCTCTACTCTCGTACTCTCGGGAAGTAATATATTATAAATATTATCAAATGCATTCAAATCTCATTTGCATTTGCATTTTCCATCGAAAAATTACAGTAATAATAATGGTATTTAAATTCTTTTGTCATATTTTATTGGCCCATCCACCTAACAAATTCACAAAGACCTGAAAGTTGTAGCGTTAAATATTATGATAGATATCGTGAGGAGACATTCACATATGGGACTAATAGAACAAGAACCCGGCAATGTGATGTTTTAGTGGCCAGAATACGCCTGGGATATAGACGTATCTGGCAGCTTTCTCAAAACCCAAATGTCGAGTACACAATGTGTCAACTTTGTCAAAGAGAAAACATGCACTCTCTTGAACATTATATTGTAGAATGTTCCATATTGACTTAGTCCTCCTGGGCTAAGGTATGCTGAACTCTGTAATTACTATATGAGTGCTGGAACACTTGATATATTGGACTTGTACCCAAGATTAACCATGTAATGTATCAATTATACAATATATGTATGTGACGTAACTATATAACCTGAGCTTGCAAAAGCACCTTAATCATCTTCAGTGATTAAGTGCTTAATTGCACACTAGTTTCTTTATCAGCTATTTCACCCCGTCAGAGTAAAAGAGACAAACGAATGTGAATGCATGTGTGTGTATATATGTATATGTACGTATATGTGTGTGTGTATGTATGTATATGTATAAGGCATATATGGAAGCTGATCAGAATTACATTTCACCTTTGTAAATGCACATTAATGACACTATGTAAAAGACACATCGAACACTTTATGTAGGGCATACGTAAATCTATGTATCTATGTATTTACGTATGTAGGTTAGCTTAGCATTTTGAAAGCACCGAATCACCTTCTGTGGTTGATTGTTCAATAAATCCCTGAACTATATGTTTAACACATCTCTAACCCTGTCCATGGAGGACAGAAGAAAATGTATATATGCTGGTTAGCATGGTAAATGTGTGGCCACGTCTGTGGTAGAAAATAATAATAATAATAATAAAAACTTAAGATTAGTTGGTACAGCAACAGCCCCGTTTTAGTGCTGATATTTTGTTTAACTAAATAATATTTATTTAATTTTATTTAATACTTATTTAATTTTTAATGTGAATTTTTACTATAATAATTTAGGTTGTACTTTTTCTAGTTAATTATAACTGAATAATGAATAATACCAAATGATATCCAAACAAGAACCATACGACCAAAGATCAAATGACAAAGATGGCAGGCGGAGCCCCAGAGCACCTACCAATTTCTCTAAACGGTGCCAACTGCTGCCAGCAGGTGATGAGGGAGCAGGAGCCCGACACGCCGTGACACTTACAGTTGACACGAGTCTTGCGGATCACAGCCTAATGGGAAGACAACACCGGTTACACCTCAACACATGCGGCTTTTAACACTAAACATTCAACCCAATATTGACCCAAGTTCTTATAACTTAAATCCTAAAGCGCAGATTAAATTCAGTTTAGGGTTTATACCTTAAAACCTAAACTAAATTAAACCAAATTTCAAATTATCAATTAATTAGAATAATGCCTTTCCACTGGAGTTTTTTTTATTAAAACTGCATTCATCTGTTCTTGTTGGTTTCAAAAAATCACAAACCTAATAATAATAATAATAATAATAATAATAATAATAATAATAATAATAATAATAATAATAATAATAATAATAATAATAATAAATAATAATAATAATAAAGATTTTGTAGATAAACTTGACAATTTATTTACATTAGTGCTGAAGAATATGGCGGCATGTATATCTGAGAAGTTTGGTATTTTACATGACTGTATATTACCTGGTTATGCTGGCTCATGGTCCTTACTTCCCCCCCCCCCTCACAACACTGTCTGCACCTGGATTTACAACACTTCCCCCACCCCTCCAGCAGGATTCACAATGCCCCCCTCCAGCAGGATTCACAATGCCCCCCCTCCAGCAGGATTCACAATGCCCCCCCCCCTCCAGCAGGATTCACAATGCCCCCCCTCCAGCAGGATTCACAATGCCCCCCCCCCCTCCAGCAGGATTCACAATGCCCCTCTCCAGCAGGATTCACAATGCCCCCCCCTCCAGCAGGATTCACAATGCCTCCACCCCTCAGGCAGGATTCACAATCCCCCCCCCCTCCAGCAGGATTCACAATGCCCCCACCCCCTTCAGCAGGATTCACAATGCCCCCCCCCTCCAGCAGGATTCACAATGCCTCCCCCCTCCAGCAGGATTCACAATGCCCCCCCTCCAGCAGGATTCACAATGCCCCCCCCCATTCCAGCAGGATTCACAATGCCCCCCTCCAGCAGGATTCACAATGCCCCCCTCCAGCAGGATTCACAATGCCTCCCCCCTCCAGCAGGATTCACAATGCCTCCCCCTCCAGCAGGATTCACAATGCCCCCCCCCCTTCAGCAGGATTCACAATGCCCCCCCCCCCTTCAGCAGGATTCACAATGCCTCCCCCCTCCAGCAGGATTCACAATGCCCTCCCCCTTCAGCAGGATTCACAATGCCCCCCCCCTTCAGCAGGATTCACAATGCCTCCCCCCTCCAGCAGGATTCACAATGCACCCCCCCTTCAGCAGGATTCACAATGCCTCCTCCCCCTCCAGCAGGATTCACAATGCCTCCCCCTCCAGCAGGATTCACAATGCCTCCCCCCTCCAGCAGGATTCACAATGCCCCCCCCCTCCAGCAGGATTCACAATGCCCCCCCCCTCCAGCAGGATTCACAATGCCCCCCCTCCAGCATTATTCACAAGGCCCCCCCTCCAGCAGGATTCACAATGCCCCCCCCCCTCTAGCAGGATTCACAATGCCCCCCTCCAGCAGGATTCACAATGCCCCCCCCCTCCAGCAGGATTCAAAATGCCTCCCCCCTCCAGCAGGATTCACAATGTCCCCCCCCTCCAGCAGGATTCACAATGCCCCCCTCCAGCAGGATTCACAAGGCCCCCCCTCCAGCAGGATTCACAATACCCCCCCCCCCTCCAGCAGGATTCACAATGCCCCCCCCCCCTCCAGCAGGATTCACAATGCCCCCCCCCCCCCAGCAGGATTCACAATGCCCCCCCTCCATCAGGATTCACAATGCCTCCCCCCTCCAGCAGGATTCACAATGCCCCCCCTCCAGCAGGATTCACAATGCCCCCCTCCAGCAGGATTCACAATGCCCCCCTCCAGCAGGATTCACAATGCCTCCCCCCTCCAGCAGGATTCACAATGTCCCCCTCCAGCAGGATTCACAATGCCCCCCTCCAGCAGGATTCACAATGCCCCCCTCCAGCAGGATTCACAATGCCCCCCTCCAGCAGGATTCACAATGCCTCCCCCCTCCAGCAGGATTCACAATGCCTCCCCCCTCCAGCAGGATTCACAATGCCTCCCCCCTCCAGCAGGATTCACAATGCCTCCCCCCTCCAGCAGGATTCACAATGCCTCCCCCCTGCAGCAGGATTCACAATGCCCCCCCTCCAGTAGGATTCACAATGCCCCCCCTCCAGCAGGATTCACAATGCCCCCCCTCCAGCAGGATTCACAATGCCCCCCCTCCAGCAGAATTCACAATGCCCCCCCCTCCAGCAGGATTCACAAGGCCCCCCTTCAGCAGGATTCACAATGCCCCCCCCTCCAGCAGGATTCACAATGCCCCCCTCCAGCAGGATTCACAATGCCCCCCCTCCAGCAGGATTCACAATGCCCCCCCCCCTTCAGCAGGATTCACAATGCCCCCCCCTCCAGCAGGATTCACAATGCCCCCCTCCAGCAGGATTCACAATGCCCCCCTCCAGCAGGATTCACAATGGCCCCCCCTCCAGCAGGATTCACAATGCCCCCCTCCAGCAGGATTCACAATGCCTCCCCCCCCTCCAGCAGGATTCACAATGCCCCCCTCCAGCAGGATTCACAATGCCCCCCCCTCCAGCAGGATTCACAATGCCCCCTCCAGCAGGATTCACAATGCCCCCCTCCAGCAGGATTCACAATGCCCCCCTCTAGCAGGATTCACAATGCCCCCCTCCAGCAGGATTCACAATGCCTCCCCCCTCCAGCAGGATTCACAATGGACCCCCCCAGCAGGATTCACAATGCCCCCCCCCTCCAGCAGGATTCACAATGCCTCCCCCCTCCAGCAGGATTCACAATGCCCCCCTCCAGCAGGATTCACAATGCCCCCCCCTCCAGCAGGATTCACAATGCCCCCCCCCCCCTCCAGCAGGATTCACAATGCCCCCCCCTCCAGCAGGATTCACAATGCCCCCCCCCTCCAGCAGGATTCACAATGCCCCCCCCTCCAGCAGGATTCACAATGCCCCCCTCCAGCAGGATTCACAATGCCCCCCCCCCTCCAGCAGGATTCACAATGCCCCCCCTCCAGCAGGATTCACAATGCCCCCCCTCCAGCAGGATTCACAATGCCTCCCCCCTCCAGCAGGATTCACAATGCCTCCCCCCTCCAGCAGGATTCACAATGCCTCCCCCTCCAGCAGGATTCACAATGCCCCCCCCCTCCAGCAGGATTCACAATGCCCCCCCCCCTCCAGCAGGATTCACAATGCCCCCCCTCCAGCAGGATTCACAATGCCCCCCTCCAGCAGGATTCACAATGCCCCCCCTCCAGCAGGATTCACAATGCTCCCCCTCCAGCAGGATTCACAATGCCCCCCTCCAGCAGGATTCACAATGCCTCCCCCCTCCAGCAGGATTCACAATGCCCCCTCCAGCAGGATTCACAATGCCCCCCTCCAGCAGGATTCACAATGCCCCCCCCCTCCAGCAGGATTCACAATGCCTCCCCCCTCCAGCAGGATTCAAAATGCCTCCCCCCTCCAGCAGGATTCACAATGCCTCCCCCTTCCAGCAGGATTCACAATGCCTCCCCCCTCCAGCAGGATTCACAATGCCCCCCCTCCAGCAGGATTCACAATGCCCCCCTCCAGCAGGATTCACAATGCCCCCCTCCAGCAGGATTCACAATGCCTCCCCCCTCCAGCAGGATTCACAATGTCCCCCTCCAGCAGGATTCACAATGCCCCCCTCCAGCAGGATTCACAATGCCCCCCTCCAGCAGGATTCACAATGCCCCCCTCCAGCAGGATTCACAATGCCTCCCCCCTCCAGCAGGATTCACAATGCCTCCCCCCTCCAGCAGGATTCACAATGCCTCCCCCCTCCAGCAGGATTCACAATGCCTCCCCCCTCCAGCAGGATTCACAATGCCTCCCCCCTCCAGCAGGATTCACAATGCCCCCCCTCCAGCAGGATTCACAATGCCCCCCCTCCAGCAGGATTCACAATGCCCCCCCTCCAGCAGGATTCACAATGCCCCCCCTCCAGCAGAATTCACAATGCCCCCCCCTCCAGCAGGATTCACAAGGCCCCCCTTCAGCAGGATTCACAATGCCCCCCCCTCCAGCAGGATTCACAATGCCCCCCTCCAGCAGGATTCACAATGCCCCCCTCCAGCAGGATTCACAATGCCCCCCCCCCTTCAGCAGGATTCACAATGCCCCCCCCTCCAGCAGGATTCACAATGCCCCCCTCCAGCAGGATTCACAATGCCCCCCTCCAGCAGGATTCACAATGGCCCCCCCTCCAGCAGGATTCACAATGCCCCCCTCCAGCAGGATTCACAATGCCTCCCCCCCCTCCAGCAGGATTCACAATGCCCCCCTCCAGCAGGATTCACAATGCCCCCCCTCCAGCAGGATTCACAATGCCCCCTCCAGCAGGATTCACAATGCCCCCCTCCAGCAGGATTCACAATGCCCCCTCCAGCAGGATTCACAATGCCCCCCTCCAGCAGGATTCACAATGCCTCCCCCCTCCAGCAGGATTCACAATGGACCCCCCCAGCAGGATTCACAATGCCCCCCCCCCTCCAGCAGGATTCACAATGCCTCCCCCCTCCAGCAGGATTCACAATGCCCCCCTCCAGCAGGATTCACAATGCCCCCCCCTTCAGCAGGATTCACAATGCCCCCCCCCCCCTCCAGCAGGATTCACAATGGTCAGCCCGCCCCCCCCCCTCCAGCAGGATTCACAATGCCCCCCTCCAGCAGGATTCACAATGCCCCCCCTCCAGCAGGATTCACAATGCCCCCCCCCTCCAGTAGGATTCACAATGCCCCCCCTCCAGCAGGATTCACAATGCCCCCCTCCAGCAGGATTCACAATGCCCCCCCCCCTTTCAGCAGGATTCACAATGCCCCCCCTCCTTCAGCAGGATTCACAATCCCCCCCCCTCCAGCAGGATTCACAATGCCCAGCCCGCCCCCCCCCCCCTTCTCCAGCAGGATTACACCACTTCCCTTTAATTTGAAATGTATCATCATAAGATAGAGAAAAGTTTAATATACATACTGTAGGCATTTAGAGTATGTAGTATGTCTAAATGAGGCATTTAAAGTATGTAGGGTAATAAAAAGAGGCTAATATATAAGATCTAGAGCATGACAGAGCATGAGATACGATGACAGAGCATGACAGAGCATGACAGGGCATGACAGGGCATGACAGAGCATGAGATACTATGACAGAGCATGACAGAGCATGAGATACTATGACAGGGCATGACAGAGCATGACAAGAGCAGATACCGACCCTCCTGCCCGCTTCATTGTTGTGGAGGTTCATCAGCTGGCGTCCCTGCTTCACGGATCCTCGCTTGTAATTTTTCTCGCGCTCACGAACGTCAACAAAGCCCTGAGTGAATCTGGAAATAAGGAAACATTCATCACACACATGTCAACAATGGCCATATTAAGAGGATCCATATTAGGGGCAAATATGGCCATATTAGGGGCAAATATGGCCATATTAAGAGGATTAATATTAGCGTGGTTAAGTTTCAAAATCTACTGTAGTTTTGAGAGACTTTGCATACCTGCTTTCACCCCCCCACGTACGTGACACAATGTTCCCTAACTGCTCACTCCTGATCAACATCTGTCTGTCATTCTTCCACTCGTGAGTAACATCTGTCATTCTTTCACTCGTGAGTAACATCTGTCTGCCATTCTTCCACTCTTGGGCAACATCTGTCTGCCATTCTTCCACTCTTGGGCAACATCTGTCTGCCATTCTTCCACTCTTGGGCAACATCTGTCTGTCATTCTTCCACTCTTGGGCAACATCTGTCATTCTTCCACTCTTGGGCAACATCTGTCTGCCATTCTTCCACTCTTGGGCAACATCTGTCTGCCATTCTTCCACTCTTGGGCAACATCTGTCTGTCATTCTTCCACTCTTGGGCAACATCTGTCTGTCATTCTTCCACTCTTGGGCAACATCTGTCTACCAATTAACATTCTTCCACTTAATTTTAGCTGTATTTTCTGCCACTTATATATTAGACAGCTTTTGTTAATTAAGGATGTGATTCAACCACATTTCACCTTACAAGTCCCAGCATGTTGTCTTAATTTAATATCACTATTATATAAGCTACATATATATTCCCAATTATAAATTATTCACCCAATATTGTATTAATACATGTTCTTTACTTGTCTTGGATACAAGTGAGCATACTTGTAGAATGTAAACACCAGTACTTTGTGTAGAACCATATGTGAGCTATTGTTGTATTCTCGACTACAGGAACAATCAATCCGTAACTACCTGTCTCACACTAGTCATTAAGGCCTCACTAAACTACCTGTCTCACACTGGTCATTAAGGCCTCACTAAACTACCTGTCTCACACTGGTCATCTCAATATATTTTTCTTTGCTCAATACCCTATCCGAATTATGACGATATATAAGATATAGTATCTTCAGATTTAATTTAAGAAGCCAATATAGTATCGGAATACTTGCATGATGCTCATCTACTTCGCCTCTCCCCCTTACACAAAAAAAAGTCACACTGTGACTCGAACACTCAATTATTAAAAATAATTTAACAACAATCAAATGTCATAATTTTAGTTGACGTGGCTGAAACATTTACTTGTATCCGTATTCGACATTGTCTCCACAGCCGCCCCAGATCCACTCCTTGTTGAGGTCCTTGGGTCTCCTGGCGGGGGAGCAGCCGCAGGTGGTGAGCTGGCCGTCCCTGCAGGCCCGGGACACGCTGTGCACCACGCCCGCCGAGGCTATGGCGTGGGCGAAGGCTGCCTCCCGGCTCGCTGGTCAACACAAATTCATTTAAAAAATGGCAAAAAATAGGCACAGTGACTATATCTCTTGAGCTGCTACTGACGCAGCCAAGAGGAATAATGATAGTCTTAAATTGGGGTTAAAGTGAACTACACTATTTTCAATAGTTTCATAAAAAACGTGAATTAAAACTCTTGCTAATACTGTAGATAATTTACAGTCATGTTTCTCATTTGCCATATCAATGAATTTTATCAGTAATGCTAATGAAGGATTAGAAGCTTAGAGGACATTTAAAATATTATTTACTATTTCCGTAACAAAATCTGTTGGGCTAATATATATATACTACTACTACAATATGCACATTATATGGTCACAGTAGCCTATTACCATCATGACTGGCAATGGTGTCATGGGATATATAATGAACATTAAGAGTGTGGAAGGCGACTCACGGATCTGAAGAACGGGGCCGAAGACGGTGGAGTCGTCGACGGTGGAGCAGTTCCACCGTCGGTGTCGGAACTGCCACTGACACTCATGGATGCCCGTCTTGGCGCCCCGGCCCACGCTGCCCATGTGGTCTTGGTACAGCTGACACAGCTTGGTCTGCCCGAGGGACAGCCCCGGGATCTGAGTGCACAGGGGCTGAGCACCGATCAGGTAGATCTGCGGGTTCCGCCACACCTCGTACCCCTGAAGCCCGAGGTTCCTGTGCAGGGGGAGCGTTCTTAGTGGTTAACATGGATAGGTTGACCTCAACGTTACTAAGCAGAAACACAATATTTACCGGCCACCTGTTGCCAGCTGTCTGAGACACCGACCAGGTGGCAGTATCCTGTGACCAGCTGTGCCCAGCCATGACCTGTGCGGGTGGATCAACTTCAGGAAGATAGCACTTCAGAGATACAGGACACATTTAATTCATTTAGTGCACTGTGCGCACTAAATGATACTCCATCCACCCTGTGTCCATGGAGTATCAACGACATCAATTAAGTAAAAATATAACACCTCAGGGTGGTGAATTACACTGTGAAGAGAAGCACAATAAATAATATATTTATATAATGTAAGGGAGAATTCGAATATCAGGGGCGAAAGCGCCATGCCATTACGACTATATAGCACTGAGAAGCGATCAGGATAAGGATTAGGGATGGAGGGAAAGGATTGAAGGAAGCCAGCCAGACCGTCGCTCTACCGTCCAGCCCAAGTGGTTGGGTACAATGAAGTGAATCTGCAATAATTTCACGAGTAAAGACAATAACAGAAGACTGTCTCAAATCAGATCATTGTCTTAGTCAATCTGTTGTTGTCAACACTGTAGTATTTTCTTAAAAGGGCGTCTGTATCGACGAATGTCTGACGAGGAATGAACTGGCACTTTTCGACCATCTGCACCAAGTCCGAAAGCAACACTGGGGAATGATCTAACAGTGCTATAAATAAATGTTCTGAATGGGAAAATAACAGTAACACAAACAAAATAGTATCACAGGGAAAACTTCTGAAATAACAAATGAAAGTTCTCACACTTTGTGGATTACCAGAACAACTTGACCTTATTGTTTCCCCACTTAAGTTACCCTACTGTAGCCTAGTGCCTCCCTATCTTCAACACACACCACTGTAGCCTAGTGCCTCCCTATCTTCAACACACACCACTGTAGCCTAGTGCCTCCCTATCTTCACCAACACACACCACTGTAGCCTAGTGCCTCCCTATCTTCACCAACACACACCACTGTAGTCTAGTGCCTCCCTATCTTCAACACACACCACTGTGGTCTAGTGCCTCCCTATCTTCACCACACACCCCACTGTGGTCTAGTGCCTCCCTATCTTCACCACACACACCACTGTGGTCTAGTGCCTCCCTATCTTCACCACACACCACTGTGGTCTAGTGCCTCCCTATCTTCACCAACACACCCCACTGTAGCCTAGTGCCTCCCTATCTTCACCACACACCCCACTGTGGTCTAGTGCCTCCCTATCTTCACCACACACCCCACTGTGGTCTAGTGCCTCCCTATCTTCACCACACACCACTGTGGTCTAGTGCCTCCCTATCTTCACCACACACCCCACTGTAGCCTAGTGCCTCCCTATCTTCACCACACACCCCACTGTGGTCTAGTGCCTCCCTATCTTCACCACACACACCACTGTGGTCTAGTGCATCCCTATCTTCACCAACACACCCCACTGTAGCCTAGTGCCTCCCTATCTTCACCACACACCCCACTGTGGTCTAGTGCCTCCCTATCTTCACCACACCCCACTGTAGCCTAGTGCCTCCCTATCTTCACCACACACCCCACTGTGGTCTAGTGCCTCCCTATCTTCAACACACCCCACTGTGGTCTAGTGCCTCCCTATGTTCAACACACACCACTGTAGCCTAGTGCCTCCCTATCTTCACCAACACACCCCACTGTAGCCTAGTGCCTCCCTATCTTCAACACACCCCACTGTAGCCTAGTGCCTCCCTATCTTCACCAACACACACCACTGTAGCCTAGCGCCTCCCTATCTTCACCAACACACACCACTGTAGCCTAGTGCCTCCCTATCTTCAACAACACACACCACTGTAGCCTAGTGCCTCCCTATCTTCACCAACACACACCACTGTAGCCTAGTGCCTCCCTATCTTCAACACACACCACTGTAGCCTAGTGCCTCCCTATCTTCACCAACACACACCACTGTAGCCTAGTGCCTCCCTATCTTCACCAACACACCCCACTGTAGCCTAGTGCCTCCCTATCTTCAACACACACCACTGTAGCCTAGTGCCTCCCTATCTTCAACACACCCCACTGTAGCCTAGTGCCTCCCTATCTTCAACACACACCACTGTAGCCTAGTGCCTCCCTATCTTCACCAACACACACCACTGTAGCCTAGTGCCTCCCTATCTTCAACACACACCACTGTGGTCTAGTGCCTCCCTATCTTCACCACACACCCCACTGTAGCCTAGTGCCTCCCTATCTTCACCATACACCCCACTGTGGTCTAGTGCCTCCCTATCTTCACCACACACACCACTGTAGCCTAATGCCTCCCTATCTTCACCACACACACCACTGTGGTCTAGTGCCTCCCTATCTTCACCACACACACCACTGTGGTCTAGTGCCTCCCTATCTTCACCACACACCCCACTGTAGCCTCGTGCCTCCCTATCTTCACCAACACACCCCACTGTAGCCTTGTGCCTCCCTATCTTCACCACACACCCCACTGTGGTCTAGTGCCTCCCTATCTTCAACACACCCCACTGTAGCCTAGTGCCTCCCTATCTTCACCACACACCCCACTGTTGTCTAGTGCCTCCCTATCTTCAACACACCCCACTGTAGCCTAGTGCCTCCCTATCTTCACCACACACCCCACTGTAGCCTAGTGCCTCCCTATCTTCAACACCACTGTAGCCTAATGCCTCTCTATCTTCACCAACACACCCCACTGTAGCCTAGTGCCTCCCTATCTTCACCAACACACCACTGAAGTGTAGTGCCTCCCTATCTTCACCAACACACCCCACTGTAGCCTAGTGTCTCCCTATCTTCACCAACACACACCACTGTAGCCTAGTGCCTCCCTATCTTCACCAACACACCCCACTGTAGCCTAGTGTCTCCCTATCTTCACCAACACACACCACTGTAGTGTAGTGCCACCCTAACTTCACCAACACACCCCACTGTAGCCTAGTGTCTCCCTATCTTCACCAACACACACCACTGTAGTGTAGTGCCTCCCTATCTTCAACACACCCCACTGTAGCCTAGTCTCCCCCTATCTTCACCAACACACCCCACTGTAGTGTAGTGCCTCCCTATCTTCAACACACACCACTGTAGTGTAGTGCCTCCCTATCTTCAACACACACCACTGTAGCCTAGTGCCTCCCTATCTTCAACACACACCACTGTAGTCTAGTGCCTCCCTATCTTCACCAACACACACCACTATAGCCTAGTGCCTTCCTATCTTCACCAACACACACCACTGTAGACTAGTGCCTCCCAATCTTCACCAACACACACCACTGTAGCCTAGTGCCTCCCTATCTTCACCAACACACCACTGTAGCCTAGTGCCTCCCTATCTTCACCAACACACACCACTGTAGCCTAGTGCCTCCCTATCTTCACCAACACACACCACTGTAGCCTAGTGCCTCCCTATCTTCATCAACACACCACTGTAGCCTAGTGCCTCCCTATCTTCACCAACACACACCACTGTGGTCTAGTGCCTCCCTATCTTCACCACACACCCCACTGTAGCCTAGTGCCTCCCTATCTTCACCACACACCCCACTGTGGTCTAGTGCCTCCCTATCTTCAACTCACACCACTGTAGCCTAGTGCCTCCCTATCTTCAACACACACCACTGTAGCCTAGTGCCTCCCTATCTTCACCAACACACACCACTGTAGCCTAGTGCCTCCCTATCTTCACCAACACACACCACTGTAGTCTAGTGCCTCCCTATCTTCAACACACACCACTGTAGCCTAGTGCCTCCCTATCTTCACCAACACGCACCACTGTAGCCTAGTGCCTCCCTATCTTCAACACACACCACTGTAGCCTAGTGCCTCCCTATCTTCACCAACACACACCACTGTAGCCTAGTGCCTCCCTATCTTCACCAACACACACCACTGTAGCCTAGTGCCTCCCTATCTTCACCAACACACCACTGTAGCCTAGTGCCTCCCTATCTTCACCAACACACACCACTGTAGTCTAGTGCCTCCCTATCTTCACCAACACACACCACTGTAGCCTAGTGCCTCCCTATCTTCACCAACACACACCACTGTAGCCTAGTGCCTCCCTATCTTCAACACACACCACTGTAGTCTAGTGCCTCCCTATCTTCACCAACACACACCACTGTAACCTAGTGCCTCCCTATCTTCACCAACACACACCACTGTGGTCTAGTTCCTCCCTATCTTCACCACACACCCCACTATGGTCTAGTGCCTCCCTATCTTCACCAACACACCCCACTGTGGTCTAGATCCTCCCTATCTTCACCAACGCACACCACTGTAGCCTTGTGCCTCCCCATCTTCACCACACACCCCACTGTAGCCTAGTGCCTCCCTATCTTCAACACACACCACTGTAGCCTAGTGCCTCCCTATCTTCACCAACACACCCCACTGTGGTCTAGTGCCTCCCTATCTTCACCAACACACCCCACTGTAGTCTAGTGCCTCCCTATCTTCACCAACACACCCCACTGTAGTCTAGTGCCTCCCTATCTTCAACACACACCACTGTAGCCTAGTGCCTCCCTATCTTCACCAACACACACCACTGTAGCCTAGTGCCTCCCTATCTTCACCAACACACCCCACTGTAGCCTAGTGCCTCCCTATCTTCACCAACACATACCACTGTAGCCTAGTGCCTCCCTATCTTCACCAACACACCCCACTGTAGCCTAGTGCCTCCCTATCTTCACCAACACATACCACTGTAGCCTAGATACACCAATCCATCAATCTATTTTTGTCCATTTTTTCTATTATATTATACAGGGAAGGCATATTAATTATAAGGTTTTTTTGACTGCAATTAGTCTTAATTTCCAACCATCTTAATTTAATTAAGCTGCCTTATAATAGTCAAATAAGTTATCTCGTATAACATAATTAAATATTAGTTAACATG